AGTCAGGTGTTGAGGGGCGGGAGCAGGTGGCATCTACATTAGCCCAGTTTTCAAACAAACAAACAAACAGTTTGCCCAGCCAGGGTGTGAGGAACTTCCCACCGCCACACTCCGCAGGGCTGTCTGTGGGCAGTGATGTAATAGGTGGCCTAGTTTCATTTTGCTTTTTTGTTATTGTGCTCATTTTGTGTGCTAGGTATGTATTTTTCAGGAAGATAAAAAAAGGGAGAGGCTCATGCTTGTAATCCCAGCACTTTGGGAGGCTGAGGTGGGCAGATGGCTTGAGCCTAGGAGTTTGAGACCAGCCTGGGCAGCATGGTGAAACCCCATCTCTACAAACAATACAAAGTTAGCTGGGTGTGTTGGTGCGCACCACCTACAGTCCCAGCTCCTCAGGAGGGTGAGGTGGGAGGATCCCCTGAGCCTGGGGCGGGGAAGGCTGCGGCGAGCCAATCGCACCACTGCACTCCAGCCTGGGTGACAGAGCGAGACCCGGTCTCAAAATAAAAATAAAAATAAATAAGAGAAAGCTTCCGTGGCGGGTGGGGGAGACAGTGTGGTGTGCGGTTCAAAGCCTGTACAGGCCTCGCCGTCCACAGATGGCTCTTAAGGGCTTGCTTCATTGGTGTCCCCGGCCCAGCCCACGGCGGAGGACAGGGGGACGGCGCGCTCAGGGCAGGATGGGCAGAGCCTTTGCTCATCAGTGGGAGGCTCAGCGAGCCCTTTGCCGGCACCCGTGGCCCCCGTGACCTCTCGGACTTGGGCACCTGCTCTAATGAGCCTCGCAGGAGCTCTCCAGAGACGGGGTGGCCTTGGTGGCTGCTGTGTGTTTGCTTCTTCCTCCTGTCGGGCAGTCCCCTCCGCTCTGGGGTCCTGCCTGTAGGACACTAAGAGTTCACACTGACGTCCGACCCACTGAGGATTTATTCATCTGTAGTTTAGTGAGCATCTGCTTTGCGTCTGTAAACTGTTGGGTGAGACTCTGGGGCCTTCCGTGTGGAGTAGAGGCCCATGGAATGGTGTGCTGGTCTTGGGGAAGTTGCTGAACTTGTTGGAGCCTCAGTTTCCCCACCTGAAAGGTGGAGATAATAACCAAGCTTCTTTGAACCGGTAATCACCACATGCCTCTGGGAAGGGGGGAGGAGACTGGCTACTTTCGCACTTTGTGGATTTTTAGGCCACGTGCCTTCGTTACCCATTCGGATAAATATGTGTTGTAGGAAGGATTCGAGATATCAGAAAGGGTTTTCCAAAGCGGGTGCCATGAAGCATCCATCCCACCAGACAGGCTCAGGCCGTTCAACAACCACACAAAAGCAGGCCCTTCGCACAGCGTGGCTGGGAAGGCCAGTGAGGGATTCACGCCAGGGACCTCGTCTGGACTTGGCCGTCCGTGCCTGGTACTCTGAGCAGAAGGAGGTGCCCACAGCCCACTCGGCGGTGCAGACGCACATCACTCTATGAGTGGACGGTCAGTGCTGCTCAGTTAGGTGCGGAGTCTATGCAGACCCATTACTACGGTTGAGTTTCTCTAGGAACCATCTGGGCAGATTTTGGGTAGAGAGCACGGTGTGTTCTTTTGCCCCTGGGATGACCCTGTGCACCTGAGCTTAGTAAAGGCTCTGAGAAGTCCCGCAGCGATGGAGCCCAGTCAAGGCTCTGAGAAGTCCCGCAGCGGTGGAGCCCAGTCAAGGCTCTGAGAAGTCCCGCAGCGGTGGAGCCCAGTCAAGGCTCTGAGAAGTCCCGCAGCGGTGGAGCCCAGTCAAGGCTCTGAGAAGTCCCGCAGCGGTGGAGCCCAGTCAAGGCTCTGAGAAGTCCCGCAGCGGTGGAGCCCAGTCAAGGCTCTGAGAAGTCCCGCAGCGGTGGAGCCCAGTCAAGGCTCTGAGAAGTCCCGCAGCGGTGGAGCCCAGTCAAGGCTCTGAGAAGTCCCGCAGCGGTGGAGCCCAGTCAAGGCTCTGAGAAGTCCCGCAGCGGTGGAGCCTAATAAAGGCTCTGAGAGTTCCCGCAGCGGTGGAGCCCAGTCAAGGCTCTGAGAAGTCCCACAACGGTGGAGCCCAGTCAAGGCTCTGAGAAGTCCCGCAGCGGTGGAGCCCAGTCAAGGCTCTGAGAAGTCCCGCAGCGGTGGAGCCTAATAAAGGCTCTGAGAGTTCCCGCAGCGGTGGAGCCTAATAAAGGCTCTGAGAGTTCCCGCAGCGGTGGAGCCTAGTAAAGGCTCTGAGAGTTCCTGCAGCCGTGGAGCCCAGTAAAGGCTCTGAGAAGTCCCGCAGCGGTGGAGCCCAGTCAAGGCTCTGAGAAGTCCCACAGCGGTGGAGCCCAGTCAAGGCTCTGAGAAGTCCCGCAGCGGTGGAGCCTAATAAAGGCTCTGACAGTTCCCGCAGCGGTGGAGCCTAATAAAGGCTCTGAGAGTTCCCGCAGCCGTGGAGCCTAGTAAAGGCTCTGAGAGTTCCCGCAGCCGTGGAGCCTAGTAAAGGCTCTGAGAAGTCCCGCAGCGGTGGAGCCTAATAAAGGCTCTGAGAGTTCCCGCAGCGGTGGAGCCTAATAAAGGCTCTGAGAGTTCCCGCAGCGGTGGAGCCTAGTAAAGGCTCTGAGAGTTCCCGCAGCGGTGGAGCCTAGTAAAGGCTCTGAGAAGTCCTGCAGCAATGGATCTTGGTTTAACCTAGTACTTTTCAAGTGTATGTGATTAGAAAACTTTTTTGGTTTTTTTTGGCCTGGCTCTTGTTAACATCCCATAGTATTAATGTGCAGAGGAAGTTTGGGGGGTGGGAAGCAATGTCTCAGAATCAGGTGGACTCTGGTCTTCTGGTTTTAAATTCTTCTAGTAGGGAATTGACCCACCGGTGATAAAGCTGTTTGTGTTTGCCAGGTGGGAGGAGGGGGTGGCAGTGGTGCCCATGGGCCTCTCCTCTGTGGAGAGGCTGCTCTGTGCCTGGCACTGACCCTTGAGGCTTCATGGTTATTCTTGGGCCTGATCCTCAAGTCCTCTCTGTGAGATAAGCCTTGCTCCTGTGTTTGCCTAACGATGAAGAAACCGAGGGCCAGGGAGGTCAGTGTTTCCAAATCACACCGGTGCTGGGCGCCGGACCCCGGATTCAAATTCAGGACGTCAGCTCGGAACCTTGGCCTGCCCTTCTCTGAGAAGGGTCATGTCAGTTGAGGTTTTTGCAAAGTGTTCGTTTACAGGCTCCCACGCCTCCTGACTAAATACCCTGAATTTATGTCCTTCATCAGAAAAGAGACTACACAGCATGTGGTGCTTTCTGAAGGAGGCATTAAAAATTTAGGGACCTTAACTCAGTGGCTGCTCTGAATTCCAATCAGTGGCTCCCTCTGAGATGCAGACCTTTCTGCTCCTGTGGGAGAGGCTGTCCCATGTGAGAAGCCTCAGAGAAGAGCTTCCAAGGGCTGTGATGTGGCCCAGCCCGGCTCTCCCTCCAGCCTCTGTTGGTCCCCCCTGGAGCCCTGAGCAGAAGGGACAGGAAGGAGGCAGGCAGGTGGCATCTTGTGAACACCTTCTGGGTGCCGTTTGCTCTGCTGAGCACTTCCAACTTTCTCAGAAGCTATCACATTTAATCAATTTAATCAATAAGGAAACTTAGGCTCAGAGAGGTTAAGTAACTCTCTCAAAGCCACACAGCGAGTGTGGAAGCTGCCATTGATCCAGCCTTGCTTCCAGGGACAGCAGGAGTGGGGAGCCTGGGTGTCCAAGCCGGGGGTGGTGGAGGAACAGAGGGACCCCTCAGAGCCCAAGGGGTTGTGCGTCCCAGACCAGAGCACCTCCCGCCCTTTGAGTTCAGGGTGGGCATCCCTGGATTCCTGGGGCTCTGCCCGCCTTTGGGGATGTCTGGCCAGGTTTACGGTGACTCCTCACCACTTCCCAGGGCAGTGATAAAGGGATGCTTTGCACCTGCTTGGGCCCTGGCGGGCACCCTCTGACCCATCTGGCTCTCGGAGTTCCTGGGGGACCACATGCGGTCAAGAGGGGCTCCTGGGAGGCTCAGGACCCAAGGAGGACGGAACTGAGGCAGGAAAGAGGGTGGAAAGTCAGTGGCTGTGCCCTGGGGGCAGCCCGAACAAGCCTGGAGCTTTGTGGCCACTTCTGAGCCCCTCTCCCAAGAGACGGTGACAAACACGGCGAGAGGGGGTGACTCGGCGAGAGGGGGTGACTCGACGAGAGGGGACTTGGGACAGCTGAGGAACCGCGGGTGTTGTCCTTGAGAAGCTGGGGGTCTGGGCGTGGCATGAGGAGAGCTGAGGGCTGGGGAGGTGTCTGCAGGACCTCGCGGCTGGGAGGGTCCGTCCCGTGCAGCCCTGTGCCTCGGGCCAGCAAGAGAAGGTGCCCGGGAGGTCAGCTGGCGGGAAGGAAGTGCCAGTCACTGGCAGATCTAGTGGAAACTCAGCAGTGCCTGGTGGCTTGTGGGCTTCCTGTCACTAGGAGTTTTCCAGCAGGAGCCGGACAGGCCTGGGGATGGGCAGGGGTCTGACTAGGCAATCTCTAGGATCCCGCGTTGTGGAGGAGACAGATGGCAACAGTGGTCAGTTTTCATAAACATTTCTCACATGCTGGGCCTGTACGGAGGTCCCTGCTCTGCAAGAGAGAAACAGGAGGACGTGGACTTGTCTTCAAAGCAAGCGTAGACCCAGGTGCAGTGGTCCCAGCTGCTGAGGAGGCTGAGGCAGGAGGACCGCGTGAGCCCAGGAGGTGGAGGCTGCATCACTGCACTCCAGCCTGGGCAACAGAGCAAGTCCTCAACTCTAAAATAAGGGAGAGAAAGAGGTAGAGAAAGAAGGTTTGGGGAGTTCATGGGACTTAGCTCCTGGTTGTCCTGAGTCCTGGGAAGGTGAATGACAGCCCAGCCCATCGGCCGGGGAGGGCAGAGCCAGCGCTCCCGCTCCCACTCTGCGCCTAGCTCTGCGCGTCCTGCCTCCCGTCGTCTGGGCGAGGAGCAGGAGGGGAGACTCCTCTGAGTCCTGTGCCCCAAGCAGCTCTCTCCCCCACGCAGGTCTGGAAGAGGTCGGGGGCCTGGTTCTACAAAGGGCTCCCCAAGTATATCTTGCCCCTGAAGACCCCTGGCCGAGCTGATGACCCCCACGTCCGACCTGTGCCAGTGGAACCCGCAGAGCGAGAGCCCAGAGGCTCCGAGACCGGCCGCATCTACACGTGGGCCCGAGGAAGAGGTAAGTCCCCTCTGCGTGTCTCCCAGGACAGCCTGTAACGTCTGGGTCGTCAGGCAGCCCGGCAGATCGCAGGCACAAGGCCAGTCCCCCGGACCCTCCATCCATGTGGCTCATTCTGGTGACGCGTCCCTCCTCATGCCTTCTCCCGAGTGAGCAGCGGGGACCTCCAGCCGGTGATGTTCGCTCTGTGCAGGAGAGCAGCCGGAGGGCCCACGGGGGGCACCTTCACATACAAGTTCTGATCTGGGGGCGAGGGTGCCGTGAGCGGCGCTCTGCATCTTCACAGAAGTGGGATGTCAATTGAGGTTTTTTGCGAAGTATAAAACTTGCATCCTTCCCAGGCGGGCCCTCACCCTCTCTTCCTGGCACTTGTGTCTCAGTAAGGGAGGACTCCTGGCTTCCTGGCCCTGATGAGTAAGGTGACTTTGTGCCCAGTGCCCCCGGGCGGGCGTTCTGGTGGCGGCACTAAGGTGCGTGTGTCCCAGGCGGCCTCCCCACTTGGCAATGATGGTGGCACCTGGTTGTGGGCCGCTCTCCACAGTTTTCATGACGCTTTGGTGTTTGTGGTTTTATTTTCGAAGTTCCTGTCTCACAACAGGCTCGGAAGGTGGACAGGGTGGTTATTTAAGGACTGCGTTTTATAGACGGGTGTACCTGTGGCTCAGAGGAGAGGAGGGACTCTCTCAGCAGGCGTGTGGCCGAGCTGGGATCCAAGGGCAGGCTCTCGCCCTCTCTGGGGTCCGGGTCCTCTTGCTCTGAAGTGCTCACGTTTCAGCCGAATACTTGGAGTCTGAGGGTCTGAGATGAGACAGGCAGAGCGGGGACGGAGGCTCATTCGGATCATGGCTCATCTTGGAGGAATGGACCTGGGACGATAGACCTGGTGGCCGCCGCTCAGGGATTGTGGAACATCTTGGTCTTTGGTTGTGACCTGACGTCTGACCATCTTTATGTCATTCGGGCTTTTTTTTTTTGGCTACAACAGTAATGCGTGTTTAGCACAAACATGTGAAAGTTGTCCAGCGACGTACGTAGAAGTACAAATCCCTCATCCCTGGACCTCCCAGGTAGATCGGCATCCGTGCCGTGGCGTGCAGCCTGCAGGCCGTTTGTCCTCAGCACCCCGGTGCCCTCGTAGCAGCCGCTCCTCGCTGGTCCTCCCGGACGCCGTGGACGCCTCTGCGGCTGTGAATTCAGCCCGCGACATCGCTGCCATGCACAGACTTCTGTGGGAACCGTGGGATGCAGTGCAGTGTAGACCGGGCAGGCGGCAGGTCCCTCAGGAGGAGGGGTGCAGGCCTGGCTGGGACACTGGCCTGAGGGGCACCATGGCCGCCCAGCCTGGAACTGAGTGTCCGATTGGCTGGGGAAGGGGCGTCCTCCACCTGGTGCCTCTGCCTGCCACCCTCGGAGCCCCGGCTTTCTCTGCTGAGCCCTGACGTTTGTCCACGTCCCGCAGACAGTGGGAGCAGAAGCTGGTGGACACCTGCGGGTTTAAAATGCTGCTTGGAGCCCGTAGAGCAGGGGAGGCTGAAGGCATGTGGGGCAGCTGCAGCCTACGCCCTCCTTCCAGAGCTGTCACCGCCCCGGCTGCTCCAAGTCAGGGCACACGCACACGGTCACACCTACATACACACACCCATATAGACACTCACACACCCCACACACACACACACATCCACATCCACACACCCTCACACCCACACACACACTGACACCCACATCCACACACCCTCACACCCTCACACCCACACACACACTGACATCCACATCCACACACCCTCACACCCTCACACCCACACACACACTGACATCCACATCCACACACCCTCACACCCACACACACACTGACATCCACATCCACACACCCTCACACCCACACACACACAAACATCCACATCCACACACCCTCACACCCACACACACACAAACATCCACACACCCTCACACCCACACACACACTGACATCCACATCCACACACCCTCACACCCACACACACACTGACATCCACATCCACAACGCTCACACCCACACACACACTGACATCCACATCCACACACCCTCACACCCACACACACACACAAACATCCACATCCACACACCCTCACACCCACACACACACAAACATCCACATCCACACACCCTCACACCCACACACTCTGACATCCACATCCACACACCCTCACACCCACACACACACTGACATCCACATCCACACACCCTCACACCTACACACACATCCACATGCACACACACTGACATCCACATCCACACACACACAAACATCCACATCCACACACCGTCACACCCACACACACACAAACATCCACATCCACACACCCTCACACCCACACACACACAAACATCCACATCCACACACCCTCACACCCACACACCACATCCACATCCACACACCCTCACACCCACACCACCTGACATCCACATCCACACACCCTCACACCCCACACACACCACTGACATCCACATCCACACACCCTCACACCCACACACACATCCACATGCACACGCACTGACATCCACATCCACACACACACATCCACATCCACACACACAAACACCACATCCCACACACACCCACAACATCCACACCACACACATCCCATCACACCCCCACCACACACACACAAACATCCACATCCACACACCCTCACACCCACACACACACTGACATCCACATCCACACACCCTCACACCCACACACACACTGACATCCACATCCACACACCCTCACACCCACACACACACAAACATCCACATCCACACACTCTCACACCCACACACACACAAACATCCACATCCACACACCCTCACACCCACACACACACATCCACACCCACACCCACACACACACACATCCACATCCACACACCCTCACACCCACACCACACACCAAACATCCACATCCACACACCCTCACACCACACACACACAAACATCCACATCCACACACCCTCACACCCACACACACACAAACATCCACATCCACACACCCTCACACCCACACACACACAAACATCCACATCCACACACCCTCACACCCACACACACACAAACATCCACATCCACACACCCTCACACCTACACACACATCCACATGCACACACACTATCCACATCCACACACGCTCGCTCACACCCACACACACACACGCATCCACATCCACACACGCTCACACCTACATACACACATCCATATAGACACATACACACCCCACACACACACATACATCCACATCCACACACGCTGACACCTACACACACATCCACATCCACACACGCTCACACCTACACACACATTCACATCCACACATGCTCACACCTACACACACACCCACATGCACACACAAGCTCACACACTCGCACTCACACACACACATGCACACATTCACACGTGCGCACACACACTAGCTTTACACACACACTCCCATGCACATGAGCACGCCCTGGGGAGGAGCAGAGCCCCTCCCCTCAGCCACGCAGATTGGCCTTTTAATTTCATGGCGAGGAGGGCAGGGGCCCTCACTCTTGCAACAGACACTGTTTATTAACTGACTTTGCACAGAGACCAGGCCGGACAATGCAGAGGCTCCCTTGTGTGAACTTGTGATGCCTCCAAGCGACTGCAAACCCCCTCAGGACCCTCCGTGCCAGGCTCTGTGCCACGCACATCGCGGCCCTGTGGTTGTCCAGTGACCCATGTGATGTGTGTCAGCCCCCAGGCAGCAGGGCGGTCAGGGCTGGTGGCCAGGCTGCTCGTGGCGGCTCAGGAGGCATCTGTGGCCACGCATGGGTGGAGGGGGCACTGCCTGGGAGGCGGGAAGGAGGGAGATAGTTTCTGTGCCCAGAAGTCAAAGTGCCAGGTGTGCAGGGCGACTGCGGAGGACCACGCTTAGGGGATGCTCCGGGCCTGCCTCTGGCCTATTCCTGAGTGGCCGCGGTGTGCCCTCTGATTAGCCTGTGCCAAAGCCAAGGCGTGTGCCTTCTGACTGAATGGTGCCTTGGCCATCCCAGACCTGGCTGTGCACTTGCAGGGGTACACGGGGTGGCTGCTGGGTGCCTGTGGGAGGCCAGATGACCCTGCCCGTCTGGAACTGTCCGTATAGCAGCAGTCCTGAGCCTGGGGGTGGGGCAGAGGCCTGCCCGGGGACCGGCCCTGCCAGCCCTTCTGTGCGTTTGTGTGATCCACAGGGCCTCACGATAAAGTCCTTGGCAGCCTTTGCAGGGGGCTCAGCCTTGCTTGCCTCTAGGAAGACCCCGTAAGCTGCCGGAGGCCGCTGCCTGACTGCCCTTTCCTTCTCAGGCTGGTCTCACAGCTGTCAGGCTCCTGCAGAAGACGGCCCTCAGCGGGCAGTGCTGGGAGGCTGGCACGGGGACTGGGCCCGTCTGGTCTGCTGCTGACTGAGGACTCCACTGTTGTTTTTCTGCCCCTGAGAGTGGCATCCCTGCCACCACCCGCAGCCCCACCAGGCGGGCGCCCCGATGCCAGGCAGCTAGCTGGGCTCAGGGCTGCAGCTGTGTGCCGCTTCAGAGCCCGTCCGACAAGCACAGCCCTCACGGCACCAGACTCAGCCCAAACTGTGCTCAAGTGGAAGCAGAGTGGCCAGCACTGAGGCGTGGTCCCCCAGCACCCTGGAAAGTCCAGGGGGGCAGCGCCGGGTCTGTCCTGAACAGGCCGATTCCTCAGCACGTGGCAGGGGGCAGGCACGGGATAGATACTTGTTACACGAGTGAGCAAATGAATGGACGAGCCGCCCACACACTCCCGAATGCCTGAAAGGCCTGCGGAGAGGTTTTCATTGAGGCCGGCCGGCTCCTCCGGGTCGGGGTCTGCTGGGAAGTCCCAGGAGATGCTCAGAGGCTGTGAAAACCTCCCTCTGCTCTCACCAGACGATGCTCCTCCCGGGACACAGCATGGCCTCCTCCTGCCCCAGAGCCCCTGTCACTGGCCTGGAGCCCGTCACAGCGCCAGCTCGCTCGCT